TCGAATTTCCTCACTCACGTTGTTACGACTGAATCGAGTTTTTAATTCTCTATCCAACGATGCCAAAACGAATTCTGTGGCTCGAATGGTTCTTGAGAAACTTCCAAAAAAGCAGCGTCATGTTCAAGTGGATTCAGAAGACTGTATTTTTTCTACATAACCCCCCCTGACTTTAAAGCTGGATCCGCCCCTGGCTCCTCCTCTGGCCCCCCTTGTCTAAATACAGTGACAGTTTTAGTCTGTCAGGCTGCACCATTTTTGCAGATTTACCGGGATTTTTCGCGTTTCCAGGGCAAAATATGTAGTTTTCTCAATCGGGAAGCTTCCAGGGACCGTTTGAAGGACCAAAGAGCGTTTTTCGTGCCACTACGTGCTTTTGACAGTTGCACTGGCTTCTGACAGCTGCGGTCAATGACTCAAAATTCTGGTCTTTTATGATCCCGACCAAAAAAAACATTGCAGTGTTGCCACCAAATCCAAAAAATCCGCCCTTTCAATCGTTCAAAGTAGCCCCAATTTTCCCTAGCGCTGTTGCCGGCACTGGAAAAAAAACTCCAAATATACAAACTAGCGTCTACGTATTATGTAATTACAAAATATCACTGTGTGGGCGCCGGTGGCGCCATAGGAATCAACGTCAAATACACTAATTAACTGCATAACAACAACAACAACAACAACAATGGGGTCGATCACCGCGCCATCTCGGTTTCAATGGTGAAAGCGGCATTATCGAAACCGCGCCCCAGGTGGGCGGGGCCTTTTTCAGGCCCCGCCCCCCGGAAGTGGGCTTCAATCTCGTCCAATGACTTGCCGCGAGTCTCGGGCAAGACGTACTTCGCGTAGAGCATCGTGAGGGCGCTGGCAGCGAAAAATGTGAAGATCGTGCCGCTGAAGCCGAGCACATCGATCATGTTGTTGTAGAGCTTCACGCAGATGAAGATGAAGCATTGCGCGATCGCAATGACCACGCCCGCCATGATGGGGCGGACGCGCAGCGGAAACATTTCCCCCACCAGGATCCACGGTATCGGCAACATGCCAATCATCGAGAAGAGCACGTTGAAGATGATGCAGAAGAGCGGCAACAGCGTGAGGATGCGCTCCTCGTCCGCATTGATTTCGTAGTATTTAATGTAGAGGCCGAGGATCAGCACCGACAGCGTCATCCCGAAGCTGGAGAAGCTGCACAGTGTCTTGCGCCCCACCCGTTGAATCAGCAGCGCGCAGACAATCGACATGGCAAACCGGATGCTGCCCACCATGATGCTGCTGACGTAGTCGTTGATTTTGAGGTTAGTTTCGCCGAAGAACTGCACGGCGTAGAACAGCAGGCTGTAGATGCCGCTCAGCTCCTGCAGCAAGAACAGCCCGACCAACAGCACAAACGGCTTGACGGTCTCGGGGCTCAGGTAGAGCTCGCGCAGCGACTTTTCCGCCCCCTTGGGCCCGCTGCCCTGCTGCATTTGCCGGATTTCCTGCTCGGTAGCGGCAACGTTGCGGCTGAAGAACAGCTGCGCCTTGAACGCGTCCGCCCCTTGGCTGACCACGCCCCTGTGCACTTTGATCAAATGCGCCGGACTGTCCGGCAACAGCTGCATGCTCACCTACAACACAGATTGTTGGGATTAATTTTCAGTTTCAGTTGCAGTGTTGTCGTCTGTATAAAAAATTATTTAGCACTCACCGCTGAAAATACGGCAAACGAGGTGCTGATCAGGGCGATGGTGCGCCATGAGATCAAGTAGCCCAGCACGTAGGTGAGCAGAATGCCGAAACTGGCCGAAATGGGGCTGAGCGATTGGAGGAATCCGCGCGTCGCGGGCGTGGCAATCTCGCCCACATACGTGAAACTGGCCGTCGACATGCCGGCCGCAATGCCGGTGATCAGCCTGCCCACATACAGCCAGTCGATGGTGGGGCCGAGCCCGATCAGCAGCCAGCCAATCAGGAACGGCACGCTGCTGATCTGGATGGAGCGCCTGCGGCCCAGCGTCTGCGCCAGCACGCCACTGCACACGCCGCCGATCGGATTGGTGACCGCGCCGAGACTGGCTGCCAATCAAACGCGTTAGTTCAGCCCAGGGGGCGTGGCCGCAGCGCCACTTACCCAACCAGCTGCTCTGCTCCGACGTCACATTGAAGTCTGCTGAAGCGTTGAGCTGGGGCAACCAGATGGCGCTGTAGCCCTGAGTGATGCCGATGCTGATCGATACGGAGTGCGCGCAAAAGGCGGCTAGAACCTGGAACAAAATCAGTGTTTTGCGCATCCGCCATTGTCCAGAAGGGTCTTTTAAGTGAATGGACAGAAGGCGGATGCGCCCCCATTGGGACTGCAGTTGCACAATGCGAGGGACTGTTTTCGGGGCGAAATCGGCGCTAATTGCCGCACGCAATTAGCGTGTTTGGTCAGGTTCACGCACTATTTCCCCCATTTTTGGACGGTGGTTCAATCGGGTTCCGGCTGCATAGCAACTGGTGCCCGCTAATTGGGCGCTTCGCGCTAATAACACGAAATAATCAAAAGCGCACCGGGCGTGGGCGGGTTCCCTGATTGCGCTTTAATTGGCGCTGGGCCCCCAAGCGCGCCCCAAAGGCGCGCTGCGCCCGAACGCGCAACTTGGCACTTGAGCTGAAGAGCGCCCAGATAACGCAGGTGGCGTTGAGTGGCGGTTTTTTCGACTCAAGGAGATTCTGACGACCGGAAAAGCGGAAAATCGGTTCCTCATTACGTGCACGCGAACCACAACCATCGAAGTGGGCGACCTTCAGCTTGAACCCGCCGCCCGCCGCTGGGTTTTTCCCAAATCCGTTCACCTCTGCTCCGTGCGTCGCTTACCCGACTTACCCCCCCACGGACTTAGCTTAGGGCACTTACCATTCGGCCGACGCCAAAGTTCCAGAACTTGTCCAGCTGGCCGGACAGGGCGCGCATGGCGCTGCAACACACAAAAAGAGCCGTTTAAGCGCTGGAAAACACCCCGGAAAAAGTGGCACTAATTTTAAGCGCTCGCCAGCAGCGCGCCAAGACCACTGTCACATGCGCCCACACGTTTCGTCGATTAATTGCCGATAATTCTAATCAGACAGGAGGCGACAGCGCGGCCCCGTGCAGGCGCAAGCGAGACCGCAACACCCGCGCGAAGCCGCTAATTGTCAATTGGGCCTCCTCAAGTGCCTCAAGGATAATCTCGACATTCCGTGAGGATAACGCAACAATCCTGCACCTGATGAGTGGCTCGCGTGCTGATTAGATAGAAACCGTCTTAAGAACGGGGGCCTCTTGAGTGACGTCATAGCGCCACAAGTGCTGAGTCATGTGCCGATACGGCCATCTGTTGTCCAAAAGGGCCAGTGTAACGCCAACAGATCGACGGGGATTTTTCCCAAATTGCCCCCACTGAATTGGTGCAACCAACATACGGCAACACTGGTGGGCGCATTCGGTCTAAAGTTTCAAATAGTTCACTCTCTTTTCAGGCATTTGCATTTTTACCAGACGCTTTTGATTCAGTGCGGCAACATGGCACTAGCTAAGAACCACATAAAGCGTCAGTTTGTTGCTATAGTGACTAATTTGTTCATTGGATTTGTGTGCAAATGTCCCCCCTGTTGGTTGAAAGTGGGTGTTGTTGATGCTCGGTGTTGCCATATTCATTCCGCACTCAAAATTTGTGCCCCGATCTCAAGCCCTGTGGGTGAAAATGCGGGTGTTGTGGATGCTTGCAATAACGTGAACAGTTCAGTCTTGGCACTCCCTGATGAATTGCCCACTTTTGCGGAATTTCGGGTCAGTGCGGCAACCTGGCTTTGCGCCAGTTGCAATTGTGGATTTTGAGAAAAAAATCAGCAAATTGCTCAGGGACCATTTTCGGGCGAAACCTCTCTAAAAGTCAGAACATCGATGGACTTGCGGGGGCTTTCAACGGCGGGAACCACCATCGATGTTCTAACCGGCGGGGAGTTTTCGCACTGGTCAAGCACTTACCAAAGTTCGTTCGCAATTGGTTGCGAGTGATCGGGTCTGGTACTGCTTACTCGCACTGAACAAGCGCAACTGACCGATGGTACTGGTCAGCTTGTTTCGGTATCGTCCGAACAATGATAGCGAGTCTGGTGGGCGCGTTTTCCCCAAATCGCACTCGCTGGTTGTTGCGTTGCCGAAGAAACCTGCAGATTGGGTTCCTGCAAGGCGAGGCTCGAGTACCAGCTAACCACGAGCTGGCACTGCCCAGGGCGGCCTTGGCCGACCCTTTTCACTTGCCCACCCCCGGAACCGGAACCGCGAATGGTACGCGACACTGACGGATGATGCAGGCGCAAAAAATGCAGATACGAACGGTTTCCATGCGAAAGGCGGTCAAGGTACCCGCTCGCATGGTCAATGTGAAGGTGAACCAACCTGCTAAGTGCCGCCCAAAGTGGTACCAGGATGATTGCCCGATTTGCCGGCCAAAGGCCACGCCGACCGATCTGAGAATGCACTGATGACACCTAATTGCGGTGCCCAATCGGGTACCCGTGCGTTAAAATCGGGCTAATTACCGGCCGTTTATCCAACGCGGAAGTACACGCTAATGCGCTTTTAATTGAACAGTGCGTGCATGTGGACGGTTTGGCGGATGCGCCCTTGAGCCAATGGACGAACGGGTGCCTCCAGCAAGGGGAATTTGGCGAAGTTTCCTTCCAGAACCTGTGCACAGCTGGCGACTGCTGCCGTGAAGAAGCCTGGTGATTTTTCGCGACATCGACCAGTCCTCCAAGAAGCGCTCGAAGGGCGCATTCGCCATTTTGCTTAGAAGACTCGCCCAGACTGTTAATTGGAACTTTATTTGGGCTCGCCAACAACTAGAACGACTTCAGCCACTTCTCGAGACTCAAATCCCATAGGGCGAACTTGACGGACATGGCGGTGCCCACCAGCACCAGGCCCAGGGTGGTTCTGTACAGGATCCGGTCGCGGAGGCCCGCCTTGAGGTACACCGGCACCCCGTCGTCCTGCGAGAACCGCTTCTGGTTCCGTTTCATCCTGCAAACGATGGGCTGTTGGGGGCGCGGCGCCGCTGGGCGTGGCACTCACCTGTAGAAAGCCGGGCGGATCTTGTGGGTGGCGCAGCCACGCCCCCCGAGCTGAGGGGCCCAGGCGCTCCGCGCGCGCAAAATCGCCGACATTTCCCGTCACACCGACACTGATTAGTTGATTGAAAGTTGCTAGGCAATGGAGTTCAGTTCTTTATTGCGTGTTTACAGTCTAAGGGGCCGAAGGGGGCGTGCGTAATACTGCAAAATGGGGGGAGGAGTGTCCGCCGGGCGTCACCGCTTCTCCAGTTGGAAGGTGAAGCTGTCCTTGGGCAGGGCCAAGGAGCCGATGGGGACGCGGTAGGGGGCCAGGTCGCCCCCCAGCGGCCGCAAAGTGAAGCGCTGCATGATGGCGCCGACCACGCCCAGCGACACCAGCTGCACCAGCTTGTAGCCCATGCAGCTGCGCCGGCCGCCGCCAAACGGCAAAAAGTACTCGGGCTTGAACAGTTTGCCCGCCCTGATGAAGCGCTCGGGGCGGAACTGCTGGGGCTCCGCCCACAGCTCCTCCGACATGCTCAGATCGTGGTTGTTCAAGAACAGCACCGTGCCCTTTTCGATTGTGTAACCTGCAACAGGGGCGTGGCTGGTTGGAATGGGGCCCAACCGCGGGGCCGGGGACTTACCGCCGAGTTCACTGGTTTGATTGGCCACGCGCGGCACGATGGGCGACGAAATCAGCCGAATGGCTTCGTAGATCACCGCCTGCGTGTACACTAGACGGTGGGAGATGGTGACTGGCTGGTCCACGCCCACTTGCGCGTCAATCTCCTGCTGGATGCGCCGCTGCACCTGGGGCTCCGCCACCAGAAACGCAAACAGCTTCGTCAGGAAGTTGCCCACAGCCGCATGGCCGCCTGCACAGGGGGCGTGGTTAGTGGCGCGAAGCGCCCACAAAGGGGCGGGGCTACGCACCTATAATATCCTCCAGGGCGAAAAGGGCGGTGTCCCAGTCCAGCGGCTCCTTGCCGGGCGCCTTCACGCGCCCAATCAGACTGTCCAGGTAGTCGGCGGGCTCCATGTCCGGCTGATGCCTCTCGAATCGGTCCCCGATCACTTCGCGATTGATAAACTCGCGGATTTTGTGGGTGACGGCGCTGAGGCGCTGAAAAATCAAGCGAGTTTAGAGTTTACGAGCAGATCAGGGGCAATTGGGGGCCGGACAAGGTAAATCGATGCTAATCGGATGCGCGCAGTCCCGTTAGCGAAGCAGCCAGACTTCCGGTATGCACCCGCGCCGCTTTTTGCAAGTCAAATCACTGTCGCCCATTGGGCCCCCGATCACTTGCCTTTGAAACGTTCCTAGCCGGCCAACTGCACGCCAATCGTGCCCCTTGAGGCCAAACCGGGGGCCCCAAAACAGAGACGGCAAGCCCCGCGATAGCGCTTCTCTCACTCGGCAGCACGTCGATTTGCTGCTGGGCATGCGTGCCACCATGGGGGGGCTCAGTCGGAAATTAGGTCAGTGACCCGCGGCTCTTAACCTCAATTTACCTCAATTTCGGCCCCGTTGGGGCCCCAAGGTGCCAGTGCTGCTGCCTGCCGTCCATCGGGGTCCCTCCACAGCTCCAAGGTAGGCCTCCGAGTGGATTTTGTCGCCTCTCAGGGGCCAGTGTTGGGGCTTTGCTCGTTTTGGGGGAAAACTACAACAAGCTCTGCTTTCTGTGTTGTTGGTGTTTGCGTTGCCAGGCAACCGGACGACTGGGCATGCGCGCCACCATGGCAACCGCAACACTGGCAACAACAACCTGCGGCTTATTCGCGAATTAGGTCAGTGACCCCCGGATGTTTACCCCAGTTTGGGCCCCATTTGCAGCTGATTTGGGGCCCACAGTGCCAGTGCTGGTGCCTCCGAGAGATGCGAGCATCGGACATTTTCCAACGCTCCAAGGTAGGCTTCTAGTCGCGTTTTTCGCGTTTTAGGGGTTAATTGTGGTGGCTTTGCCATGGGTGAAGCCTTGGGGGACAGCCGCAAAGAGCCCCGGATTTCGGACTTTAGGTATTTTTGGGGCAAGCGCCGATAGGCGGCATGAAGCGCAAAAGAGATGGCGCAAGGGCTCTCTCACTCACTCTCAAGCGGAACATGGACTCACCTGCAGTTTTCGCCTGTGGAGCGGCATGAGGAAGGGAAGAAAATCGGCGGCGTATCCCTGGTTGACCTCGAAAAAGACCTCGTCGAAGTTGCTGAGCAGGTCGAGGAAGGCGGCGTTCTGAGCACCGAAGCGCACCGAGCAGAAGTGGCTCAGAAACACATTGGCGCAGGTCTGGAGCAGCAGCGGCTTGAGTTGCAGAGTGGAGTGGGCGCTGAGCGCCCGCACCAGGCGCCCGGTCTGCTCCACGACCAGCCCCTCCAGGCGCTGGAACTGGGCGGTGAAGGCGCGCGGGAACGTGTGCGCCTTGAGCATGTCGCGGCGCGCTTTCTGCGTGCTGGACCAGTCGCAGAAGGCCAGGGCTGCGCCAAGCTAGTTAGTGGGAGCCGGGGGGCGCTTGGCGGATACTCACAGTTCTCCTTGTTGCCGGCGAACAGGCGCTGGTAGCGCTCAAAGTTGGGGCGGAAGTCGAAGTGGTGGCCGCGCGTGACCAGCGCCTCCCGGATGTGGCGCTGCCCGTTCACCACCACGCACTTGACGGCGCCCAGCTGCAGCCTCACCACTGGGCCGTAGCGCAGCTTCAGCGCAGTGAAGGCCTGGTAGGGCACCGAGTAGCCGCGCAGCAAGTGCAGGTGCCCGATGATGGGCAGGCGCAGCGGCATCGGGGGTTCCCGGGCGGCGCCTGGGGGCCGCTTGCGGACAATGCCGACCACGATGAGCACGAGCAACAGCACGAGGCTGGCGGTGAGCAACGTCAGGGGCATCGTCGCGCACTTGGGGCTGGAGACTGGCGGTCTGCCTCCGCTCGTCGGCCGCTCGCGCTTTTAAGCGCCGATCCGAGCCCCATTTGCATCAGCCACTTACCCATGGATGTATTCCGAGTTATTCAATTATGGGACATTTCGGGATTGGGTGTGGGGCCACGTGGCGGCCACCGAAATCCGCTTCGGGATCTGTTACGGTCGTTAGCATGGCCCATCGGCTCAGGCCAAAAGGGGGGCACGCCCCTGGATGTCCAACTAACCCACAAAGTGGCTTGTGCTCGAGCGGAAAAGCGGATGCCGCTGTTTTCCGGACAGTGGCAGCGGGGGCGCAGTCCCCCCCCTTTTGAATACATGCATCGGATTGACCCCGGCTTTAATCAATCGCTGGATGTAGGCGGTGCGGATTGCATAATGCAAAGGTTTATGAGGCGCGCGCGCGCCTCCCATGCAAATGGGGCGCTCTTGCCATGCATTTTTTTAACCGCCCGCTCATGCATTAGGCATGTGCTCGGAATGCGGTTGGGTCTATTTTAAGCTATTTTTCATAAATATGATAACATTCACAGGGGGCCTTCGTCGGCGGCGATTCCTGAGCGGTTGGTGAATGCGCCCGCCGATCACCCCCGAGAGCCGGATGGACCGAGGGATTTTGCCTGGTGAGTATCCAAATGGCACTAGCAAGGGAAAATTTCCACTCTTTCACATTTTGAGGAAAAATTATTTTTTTTCTTAAATACACATTTAGTGATTTTAGGCAAAGCCGGCCCTGCCGCCCTCAGTTTACGCCATACGGCCCCGCACTACTCGGTTAGTGTGGTCTCTGTCTGATGCATCCGTGACGTCGGTTAGATGCGTGAACTCAAAGGCGACATTGACGGTGCAAGCGCACAGGCCAGGACTCAGGGAGATTTTCAACCAAAGTTTAATCATAAACCTTTTCGTCACTGAGTTGGGTCCAATGTATTTTTTAGAAAAACTGGGCCATTCTCAGGCTCCAGCCCCAACGCCGCTGCCGTTTTGGGGCCCCGTGACCCAGACCCACAACAATTCGCTTGATATGCATTGCATCCGGTCGTTTTTGCATGTTTTCCATTATTTTTTTTTTGGGGAAATGGCGCGATTTATGCATTATGCGCCCTGTTTGAAATTGCAAAACTGCACTCGGCCATGGATAATGCAGGAACCAGTTGCCGCTATTATCGCAATTTGATCCAGTAATCAAGGCCCAAATCGGCCAAGTTCCAGAGTGATCCGCGGCCTGGGCAGAACCGGCGGTTAAATCTGTGTTAATTCGGTAGAAATAGTCGACGTTTCGGCCTGGAAAGCCGAAAATTCACCTTGGGCTGCCCTTGGCCTTGGCGCCGCCATTTGGCATGCAGATGAGGCCCGCTTTAATGGGCACGGGCCAGACGAATTTCGATCAGCCCATCCATTTTCGGTGTCATGCAAATAACGGTCGAAAAACACGCAAAACTAACTGTAGTGAGATTAAGTTTATTAGTGGCCAATCAGTTTGGGGACGAGATTCGACCGGCCGCGTGCTGCGCCAGCCCCATTATGGACGCGCCGCTCGACTGCGCCAACAGTTGGCCAAACTGTTCTACACCTACAAAACACCATTGCAAACTAGTTAAGGCGGTTTATTGATTATCGCTTATTTACAGACAGGAGAAAATAACCCGCATACAAACAAGACCAATCGCACGCTTAGGATCAATTCCGCCAGTAAAAAAACTGGAACTTATTCGAACTTAACGGTAACTAGTAGCTAGGGGCCCCATCTATTGCTTACTTTTTAGCTTGTTGCTCTGGTCGTCGAACTCCTTGTCCGAGATGTTGAGCATGAGACTGTTGCCGCTCAGGTAGACTTTGTTTTGCGAGTTGGCGATCTAAAACCCAGGAAAACGGTCACAGAGTGGCAATGCTGGCGCAGCCCAGTTCTTACCGTTCGCGCAATGTTCTGCGCCGCCCGAATTTTGCGCAGCTTCAGGTAGCCGGGGTTGCGCGAGATGGCCTCTCCTAAGTGCGCGACAGTTAAGGAAATGCGTACATCGTACATAACTAGAGGGGACTGGGCGCATAAGGCGCAAAAAAGGATATCATTTTGGCGGCCTCGGCCTCACCCTCGGCCTGCACGATTTTCTGCTGGCGCTCCTGCTTGGCCCGTTCCACCACGAAGGCGGCGCGCTGCGCCTCCTGCTGCGCGACCTGCTTGGCCTCCACAGCCGCCGTGTATTCCTTGCCGAAGGACAGTTCGGTGATCGAAACGTCGTCCAGGATGATGTTGAAGTCCTGGGCGCGCTCGGTGAGCTCCCGCCGCACCAACAGCGACACCTGCAAAGCGCCCACTTTTACTTCAAGCTGCGCCCCTTGGGGCCGGCGGCGCCCACCTGCTGGCGCTGCGTGATCAGTTGCGCAGCATTAAATTTGGCCACCACTGACTTGAGCACCTCGTTGCAGATGGAGGGCAGCACCTTCTCGTCGTAGTCCAGCCCCAGCTGTCTGTACACGATGGGCAGCGAGCTGGCATTCGGCCTGGACAGCACCCGCAGCGAAATATTCACCATCTGCAGGTCCTTGGACCCCGTGGGGCTGGAGATCTTGCGGGGGCGCGACCTGAAACAGCCCCCGATAACCTCAGGCAACCAGGGCTTCGCCCGCGCTCCTCACCTGATGTCGTAAATGATCGGGTACTGGAACCAGGGAACACGGAAATGCAGCCCCTCCGTGTAGATCTCCTTCTGGACGCCGCCGACGCGGTTGAACATGATGGCGCGATGGCCCCCCTCAACTGAAACACAACCTCAGTTAGATGAAGCAAGCAGGCTTGGGGGGCGCGATTGAGCAACCTGTGTACATGGACTGGGAGACGCCGAAGGCCGCCGCCCCGCCAAGTGCGAGCAGCTTGATGCCGAGCCCCAGCCCGGGCGGACCCCCTTTGCCGAACTTTCCGGCCAGGTCGTTCAGCTTGCTTTGGGCCATTTTTCTGGACGCTTTTCCTGGATTCTGGACTTGGGATCACCGGGAAATGGACATGCGGCGACTTTGACAGCTAATGTCCCGAGACAGTGACACTGGGATGTCAACCTGCAGTTGAGGTGACAACCCTGCCGGAGGCCCTTAGCGTGAGATTCCTGGAATTTTTTCTAGGGTTTTACAAGAAATTTTCAGTTTTTAATCCATCCTCAACGTCATACGAGGTCTCTCAAGCTTCTTGGCCGTTGAGAACGCCAGAAATTACGGCTTTTTTTCATCACACATCAAGTAGAAAATTGGAGGTCTGCAGACGACAAAGTTTGCCAAATGAAAGGCCCCAAACTGGAAATTTCTTGGCAAAAAGCCCCAAGTTTTCATTGTAACCGGGAAAAAATGAATTAGTGCTGTGTCCTTGTCTAGTGCACAGGAAATGCGACGGGAAGTATTTAGACGGGCCCAACCGGCGCTGTTGTCACACCAGACATTCCAACCAGTGTGGGGCTCTCGCTCATCAGACGCACGACAGAGCGAGACAATTGACGTGCGACAGGCATGCGCCCCAATGACATTCGCCAATTGCAAATGGCCGAGCTTGTCCTGCAGAGGTTGTTTACAGTGAGTGCAGTTTCTCGTTCGTATCAACGTGAATCCGCCCCGCAGTTTCACTAGTAAAGCGCTCAGCGCCTCTTTGCGCCCCTCTGGGTTAAGTGCGCTACCTTCGAGCTGCGCCCTTTGCGTCCAAACGGCGATTTTCAGTGTCTACGTGAACCGATCTGTGTCAGCAATGGCCGCTATCAACAAGGTTTGTTGTCGCCGGTGAACGGGGCCCCTTTTTCCCGAGCAGCGCGCAGCCCCAACAATGGCGGAAAATCGCTCGTACAAGTAAGTTTTCGTTAAAAATGGGGCGAAATGCCGGTGGGTTTAACACACTGTCTGGTCTGGTTGTAGGATAATGGTGTTTCGGCCCACATGGGAGGAGTTCAAGAACTTTGCCAAGTATGTGGAGTATATGGAGTCGATGGGGGCCCACAAGGCCGGCCTGGCTAAGGTAAGGTTGGGGACTCTGGTGGGGCTTGGACGGTGATTTAGGGGGTATAGGCTTTTTTAGGCTAGGTAGTTAGGGTTTAGTTTTACTTAGCAAATGTGTGGTTTTAGGTGATCCCGCCCCCTGAGTGGGTGCCCCGCAAAAGCGGCTACGATGTGCAGGATTTGAATTTGACGATCCCGGCCCCCATTTGCCAAGTGGTGACTGGCAAGCAGGGGCTGTATCAGCAGATTAACATACAGGTAGGCGACTGGGGGAGTGCCGAAGGGCCCCATTTTTTAATTGGTTTTGGGCTGTTGTAGAAAAAGCCGATGAGCGTCAGGCAGTATCAGGAGCTGGCCAACTCGGAGCGCTACGCCACGCCGCGGCACTTTGACTACGAGGATCTGGAGCGCAAGTACTGGAAAAACATCACGTATGTGGCCCCAATTTATGGGGCGGACGTTTCGGGGAGCATCACCGACAATGACGTCAATGTAAGTGGCCAGTGGATGGGCGTAGCCCCCTATTAACTCGGCGATTTGAGCAGGAGTGGAACATCAACCGCTTGGGGACCATCCTGGACTTTGTCAACGAGGACTACGGGATTTCAATCGAGGGTGTCAACACCGCCTACCTGTACTTTGGCATGTGGAAGACCACATTCGCCTGGCACACTGAGGATATGGACCTGTACTCCATCAATTTCCTGCACTTTGGCGCGCCCAAGACCTGGTACGCCATTCCTCCGGAGCATGGGCGCCGCCTCGAGCGCCTGGCCAACGGCTTCTTTCCCTCGTCCTACAAGACCTGCCAGGCGTTTCTGCGCCACAAGATGACGCTCATTTCCCCGCAGATTCTCAAGCAGTACTCGATCCCCTATAACAAGGTGGGTGCAATTGAGTGGTTGTGTTGGCGGGTGAACCAATGGCCGGTTTCAGATCACCCAAGAGGCGGGCGAAATCATGATCACCTTCCCCTACGGGTACCATGCCGGGTTCAATCACGGCTTCAACTGTGCCGAGTCGACGAATTTCGCGTGCGAGCGCTGGGTCGAGTACGGCAAGCGTGCCTCGCAGTGCACCTGCAGCAAGGACATGGTCAAGATCTCGATGGACACTTTCGTCAAGCGCTTTCAGCCCGATCGGTGAGTGTCGGTGGGGACGCAATGGCGAATGCGCCACTACATGACGCCGATTTGCAGGTACGACAAGTGGCTGAAAGGGGAAGATGTGGGGCCCCACCCGGAGGAGCCCGATCGCAAAGTGGCAGCGCCGCTGCCCCTACCGCAGGACATCTTGTGCAACAAGAACAACCCCACCCTGCCGCAGAGCTACATGGAGGGCCCGTTCAAGAAGAAGAAGGGCCGCATGATGGCCGGGTACCCCAAGTAAGGCCCAATCAGTGAAGGTGTTTGTCGGGGTTTAACGCCTGGGGGTGTTAGTTTTGCAGAATTCCCGCCCGAGCTTCAGCTGCAGCTGATGGAGGAGGACCAGAACCTCTCATTCGGCGACGACCTGCAGCCGGATGAGCAGCAGATGGAGGTGCTCGAGGACATTTGGTTGAAAGCCGGTGAAATCGGTAAGGACTCGTTTAATATAAATCGCGTCGAGGGCTAATAATGGGCTTGCAGACGCTGAGGATGTGGATATTTGTGACGACGGCTACAACGTGAAGAAGGGCCGGAAGATGAAGGTGAAGCGCAACCGCAAGGGGCGCAAAGAGGAGGGCGCGAAGGCCAAGAAACAGTGCGGCAAAATAGTTGCGCTTGCCCCCGCCTCTCCTGGTACAGATGATCTAGTCAAGTCCCTAGTGGCTCAAGAGAGCGACCTCATCAACAAGAAGAAGCTCAAACACAAGGAGCGCCGACGCAAGAAGAAGGACGAAGGTGAGTTTAGGGGGGCGACCGCCTTTTCCAAACAATCTGATCGGTGTGCTTTAGCCCCCAGCGTGGCTCCGCCTGAGGCGTCGCCACCCCCAGCTCCGGTGCCGCCGCCCCCAGCGCCGGCTCCGCCCCCAGAGGAGATCGACCAGGTGAAAGCCCAAGCGGCAGTGGATCGGATAATCCGGCAGGCCGACGAAGAGTACGAGCGCACCCTGGCTCTTTACCCGCCCCCAATAGCGGCCATTCGCCCGCCACCGCCGCCGCCCATCAACAAGGGCTACGAAAGCGCCTTTTTGTCTTTCCTGCAAAGCAGCGGGCGCAGCCTGCCGAGCAGCCTGGTGCGCCCAGCCAAGCTCGCCGACTCGGTGAGTCTGAGTCCGATCAAGAAGGAGCTGCAGCAGATCTCGCAGGAGCTGCCCGGCACGTCGGCCAGCCCCGACCTGGAGCTGTTCGGGCAGCTGCAGGGCAACAGCCGTACGCCGCCGTCCGTTTTCTACCAGCGCCCGGCCGCCGCTGAGACCATCACGCTCTACTCCGCCCCCAGCGCCGAGCCGCTGGCCAACAACCAGCGGACGCCGCCCAGTTTGCTGCAGAAACTGGTGCCGATCACCGCGGCGCCCGCAGGGCGCAAGCCCAGCACCTTCTGGACCAATCCGAGCTTCTACAGCGTGAACAGCTGCCCCAAGATGATCTACGTGAACAGAGACAGGCTGTTTCCGCTGACCAGCCAGCCAATCCGGCTGGAGGCCCCGCAGGGCCCCAAAGTGGTGGTGGAGCCGGTGAAGCAACCGGAGCCCGAAGGGGCGCGGGCGGGCGGCAAAGCCCCCGCCCCCACCGCCATGCACCGGCAGCTGCTCAAGTGCCAGAGCGGCGACTTTCGCAAGGGGCGTCGCCTGAAGATCCTCAAGGAGCTGGTGCAGTTCTGCAAGAATCGGATGGAGCCGCGGGTGCCGCCCGTCGCGCCCTCTCTCGATCCAGTCGTGCAGCTGGACGACGTGCTCAATCAGTTTCCATTGCAGCAGCGCCAGCTGCTCAAGCGCGGACTGTCGGTGAAACCCGCGATTGACAATCGGCTCGCCATCGGGCCGGAGGAGGAAGTGTGGGGCAAGCACAAGAATGGGCGGTTCTATCGGGGGCGGGTGCTGGCGGTCAAGCCACGCCCCCGCCTCTGCATCCAGTTTGAGTGCGATCGCACCTTTGTGGAGGACATCGGGACCGATTGTCTGGTCGACTGGCTTGGCGCGCAGGATCCTGTCGAGGGCGACCGGATCCGCGTCCGCTGGACTGACGGCGTCATTTATGAGGCCCGCTGCGTCGCCCGCAACGACGCCCTCTACTACACGGTGAGTAGCCGGAGGCTCGTCAGCCTGCACCCGCTAATGGGGCTCGTTTGTTTGCAGGTGCTGTTTGAGGACCTGAGCCAGAGGGACCTGAGCCGCGGGTCGGTCTACTCGCTGAAGGAATCCATTCCCAAGAGGGTGATGGCTAAGTTGGTAAGTCGGTTTTTGATTTTTGGAATTTCGGCTCAAGCCGTTCCTGCCGCCAGGGCCCATGGCCGATTTGGCTCGACGTATCGGCGTTGTGTTGTCTTTGTCTGACACGTGCGCAAGGGGCTGAGAATTGGGTGCGCGAGTCGTGACTTGCATGGCACTGGCTCTAGAGTGACGCTGGCAGCGCACAGGGCTGGACTGGGGACCAGGATTTTTCATGCACATTAATTAAATGGTCCAATTTTATGCACACTTGGGAATTTTTCAGCCAACAAATAGGGGGAAAAGGGCATGGTGAAATTCCGGCTTAAGATTTGTTCGAAAATTGTTGTAATTCGGGTTTCAAAAATTGCAAGAACCGAATTCGGCCACGTCATTGTTAACGGTTTGGGGATTTTTGGAGCTGGGAACAGTGCCTTTGCAGTTTTGCGTTAAAAAATGATAGTCTCAAGGATCCACTGGACGCCGTCCCTCGGGCTCATTGGCAGCTCAAACTAGTGGAATTTTCCACATTCCCCCTAAGAAAGGGTGGAAAGCAGACAAAATAATTGTTTGTCCAGTCCGTCCCTGGGCGCCTTCAGCGTCCCAACTGCGATGGTGGCCTTGATGTGCGCGAGCGTTGACCGGGGGTGGGCAATGCATCAGACAAAGACAGCACCACTCGAGTACAGCGTTGCCGGGTGCCCTGAACTGAGCTCGACAGGCCCGGCTTCGATTCAATTTTGCGTGTCTTTGATTGCGGCTTAAGCAGCGTCGGTTGTGAACAATTTGAAGCGTGAATAGAATGGCGCGTCGGTTGAACTTTTTTGTTGTTTTGTTTGTTTCGAGTGTAAATGGCAAAAGGATGTTTGGTTGCAGTCGCACGCCTCCGCGATGACTCATCGCGAGCACCTCTACGAGCTAGAGCGCACCCTGCCGGAGAAGCGGCCCGTCAAAGTGAAGACGCCCGAAACCTAGGGGACGCCCCAGCCCCACAAGACTGACACAGCCTCACTGCGGTGAGGCGATTAGGCCCCGTGGCCCCCCGATCTAGTTAATTGCCTTTTGTGATTTACTTATCCGTTAATTAAACCCCGCCCGCCAGCTCCCCCCTTGTCACAGCCCAGTTTGTATTATTACTAGTTAGTTCGGTAGGTTAGATGGCGCGTTCGCGTCCACTGTGTTTTGTACATACATTTCGTATAGGGCGATTGTAGGATGTTGTATAGGGCGCCACCTGTGGGGGCGTCGGAAATAAAGCGTCTGTTTGCCAGGAGCGCGTTTTTGTCTGGTGAGGCGGTAGATGGCGCGCGCCGTGAAAGTGAAAGCGGCCGCGATCAGCTGCCCGGGTTGGTAGTGGTGACGGGGGGGCGCGTGCGCGGTAAGGGAAAAGTGAGCGGCGCATCGACAGCCGTCAACGCTGCGCTCCACTCTCAGTGCGATCTGAACGTGCCAGCGAAGCGTTGTGAGCGCGCCGCCATCAGCCCAAAGCCAGCCGAATAAAGGCCTTTGTTTATCCGCAATCCGCCCGTCCGGTCGACTGGAAGGCTTTGAGCAGCTTTGGGGCCTTCAGCGCAGTCCCACCAGTGCAGTGCGCGGCCCGAGCGGACAGTGCATGTGTTGGTGTCTTGTCCAGCGCCCAGTGGTGTGCCTGCTTTGATGGTAAGTGCCGATGCTCGCCCGATTGGGGCCCACTGCCGCCACTGCCTCTTCCAGATGTCTCAATACCCCCGTGTGCCAGTGTGGAACCCCACCGTTGGGCACTAGACGGCGCCGTCGCTTGATCCACTCCGAATGGCTATAGTGGGGCCCAGCCGCCACGCTAGGGTGTCCATGTCCGTGTCTATGAGCCTGATGCAGGGGCCGGGAGGCGCGGCCGCCGCCCCTCAGGGCGGCCTGCATGCCGCGCAGCCCTACTATCCGCATCATCCCCAGCAGCATGCCGTCGCCCCCGCCCATAGCCAGGAGCAGGTGCAGCCCGATCGGCCCATCGGCTACGGCGCCTTCGGAGTCGTTTGGTGAGTGTCGGGAGAGGGTGCTGCGCCCCCGCAGGGGGCCCCAGTGTGCTAGGTTATGTGTGTGCGTGTGCGGCCAAACAGCCGACTGCGCATCGGCCGAGTGGGGCCGACGGCGCCCGAGAGCGCCCTCGGGCAGCTGCGCCGATGGGCAGGTGGCCGAGCGAGCGGGGCAACGACTCGGGGTCGGGCGCAGGTAGCCGGCCAGTGGCGCCCGTCGCTTTTGGGTAGCCGGGCGCCCCCAAGCAGGTACCCGACGGGACAAAGACCGCAGAACCTCTACCTGGGTGGTTTGGGCGGCCCCCCTGGGACGCCACTGGCCGCCCGATGGGCAATTGTTTTTCGACAAGATGGCCGGCCCTGGCGGAAGTGTCATCGCCTGCCTGTGACGTCCGACCGCACGGTGTCACGGCCATTGACTCGGCCCCTGGCCCGCAAGGTTGCGGGTTCGGGCCCTGCACTGCTCGCCTTTTTTTGTGCAGTTTTCCTCGCTGCGCTGGAATTTTCACTTGAGCTGAGTTCTTTTCAGTGTTTTCTCCCCGTTGGAACGGCTTTTTTCGGGTAGGCCTGGGTAACTCAGCGAATTTTTGGGAGTTGGCGCAAATGGGTGCGTCAACCCAACGCACTGGCGCAGTAACTCAGTGCTGTTGCTGGGCACGTTGATTTTGGTAATCATTTACAATACGATCTGCTACTAGGATGGCTGCTTTGCCGATTAAGACTATGCTCACCTTATAGAAAATCTCATAACTTTTCACTCTCTGAAATTCACCAATTTCCAAAACAAAATAACGGTCAACAAACAACAATGATGATTCAGCTCTTTGCGTCGGCTTGTCAGTCGAAAGTTTTCGCGTAGTTGCCATATTAGCACTTTCTTAACATTACCTCTTCCTTCCTTTTCATGTACACAAATCATTTGACATACTTAACTATTTAATATAAAACACATAGTAATTAGTAATACCCAGATGATATGATTTTCGGCATGTGTCTACGGCGTACAGATTCTTAAATAACCTCAACTGTGTCACCTTGACAGCTAAACGCCAAATGATGAGACGCGCAGGGGTCCAGAAATCAGCCGCCATGTCGGCTGACGGCTGGCGCCGACTCGATTCAAGATCGACTAGGCGCAATCGCCGCGAGACTGCGCCACTGATGGCCAATCGACAGGGGCGTCGCTCCCCCCCACCCTTTTTTGCTGGTTTTTAACCCGGAAAAAACGTGTTTCAGGGCTGTGACTGATCCGCGCGACGGCCGCCGCGTCGCCCTCAAAAAGCTGCCAAACGTGTTTCAGTCGTTGGTGTCCTCAAAGCGCGTCTTCCGCGAGCTGAAGATGCTGTGCTTCTTCAAGCATGAAAACGTGAGTAGTACGGCCCTGGCAGTCGTCCCAGTCTAAACTGCCGCCCATTGCTTTGCAGGTGCTGGCCGCCCTCGATATTCTGCAGCCTCCCCACCTCGACTTTTTCCAGGAGATGTAAGTTTTCCAATTAATTAATTGGCTGTGTCGCCCTTAACTTACCCCCCCCNAGATACGTCATCACGGAGCTGTTGCAAAGCGACCTGCACAAGATCATCGTGTCGCATCAGCCGCTCTCCTCCGACCACATCAAGGTCTTTCTCTATCAGATCCTGCGCGGTGAGTGTCGCTGTCAGTTGGCGGCTGTCACCACTGTCACCCGTCAATCACTGTTGCAGGTTTGAAGTATCTGCACTCGGCGCGCATTCTGCACCGCGACATCAAGCCCGGCAACCTGCTGGTGAACAGCAACTGCGTGCTGAAGGTGGGGGGCGTGGCCCGCAGGGCAATGGGGGCGGGGCCTAACGTTTGTCGGTTGCAGATCTGCGACTTTGGGCTGGCGCGGGTGGAGGAGCCCGACACCAGCAAGCACATGACGCAAGAGGTGGTGACGCAGTACTACCGCGCCCCAGAGATCCTGATGGGGGCCAAGCATTACACGGCCGCCGTCGATGTGTGGTCGGTCGGGTGCATTTTCGGCGAGCTGCTCGGCAGGCGCATCCTCTTCCAGGCGCAGAATCCGGTGGAGCAGCTCGAGCTGATCACCGAGCTGCTGGGCACGCCCACCATGTCCGACATGAAGTACGCGTGCGAGGGCGCCAAGGCGCACATGCTGCGGCGCAACCCCAAGCCGCCCAGTCTCTCCGCCCTGTACACGCTGTCGGCGCAGGCGTCGCACGAGGTCGTCCACCTGCTGTGTCAGATGCTGGTTTTCGATCCGGTGAGTAGAGGGCGCGCGCCACGCGCACGACTAACGCCCCCTTTGGGCCGCAGGACAAACGCATTTCGGTTGTGGACGCTCTCGCGCACCCCTACTTGGACGAGGGCCGTTTGCGCTACCACTCCTGCATGTGCAAGTGCTGCTTCACGATGACAAGCGGCATGCGCCAGTACACGAACGACTTTGAAATTACTGCGCAGCTGCCGTTCGACGATCTGTGGGAGCGCAAACTCACCTCCGTGCAGCAAGTGAAAGGTCAGTGGGCGGGCGCGGGGGGCGCGGTTGCCGCTAATGTGTGGTTTTCGCGTTGCAGAGGAAATGCACAAGTTCATAGCGGAGCAGCTGAACACCAGCCGAGTGCCGCTCTGCATCAATCCCCAATCGGCGGCGTTCAAGAGCTTCGCCAGGTAAGACGGCCGCCAACAGTCCAGATCCAGCGCAGCGCCACTGCATAGGTGACCGAACCGCCCCCTATCGGCC